TGGACCATCGATCCTACTTCCTTTGAAGCACCAACAGGCAGTAGCATTGCCCTCTTGGACTGAGAAGGCTGAGCTCATCTCAGACAAGAGTGTGGGTAAATTCTCTCTAGGGTGATCTAGAAGATTCCTTGAGGCTCACGGCTGAATATACGAGGGCTTCCTGAGTAGAGTAGCGTGGCTGGGCCCCTCTGGTGCCCCCGTGTGGTGGCTTTCAGCGCCGCAGCAGAAGGCGTGTGAGGTGGAGGGTAGGCAACACCGCTGAGCTCACCGCCGCGGGCGCATCCATCCCTCCCGGGCCTATAATTTGGGTTCCCCGAGCCTGGCCGCCCCTATCAGCGGCTTAGCAACAGATGAGTCACCCGAGACCCTGGGCCAAGGCAAACATAGTATGTGGGGGGGGAGAGGTTCCCAAAGGCTGGCCCAGCTTTAGCCACCGCCTCAGTTGCTAGCTCCCCCAATCTCCAGGGGCCCCCACTCTTTTCTTTGACCCCCGCCCTCCAGGGCCCCAGAGTTCTTCCCTCACTGTTCTTGCTACACCCTCCATCTCCATGATGGGAAGATCAGTCTCCTATTCTCATCAAGAGCAAAAGGAGGTCAACTTGCTCCCATTCCCTCCCTGCACTGATGGCAGCCCCTTTCTTTCCCACTCCTGTCACCCTCCCAGCCCTTGTCAAGGTCTCTGGTTCCCGCCCCTCCCTTTCCTGGAGTTGGCTGCGTGCTTGGGGTATTAGGCAATGGGTGTGCACCCGCAGCCCTCTCCAGGCCCCGCCTGTCCCACCGCCCCCTAGCTGCCTGCGGGTCAGTGCTCAGGCCAACCGGTCGGGCCGAGGGCACTGTGGGCCAGCTCAGGCCACCCAGTAGGCCTGCCTGTGGCCTCCTATCCCAGAGCTAGGCTTCAGTGGGGAAGAGGAAGCAGGAGTATAGGTTTTTGCTTTTGGAACAGTCCAGCTTGGGGGGAATCCCCCAGATCACTAAGAAGTAGAAACTTAGGGTGGAAGTTCTGACTCCAACCACTTCTTGACACCTGACTACATATTCTGGACTCTGATAAGATAGCATCAGAGGAGGAAAAAAAGAAATAAATAATAATAAAACAAGGTAAAACAAAAATTTAAACATGTGTGGGTCCCAGGTGGCTCATGCCTGTAAGCCTACTTACTCTGGAGGCTGAGATCTGAGGATCATGGTTCAAAGCCTACTTGGGCAGGTAATTTTGTGAGACTCTAATCTCCAATTAATCACCAAAAAAGCTGGAAGTGGAGCTATGGCTCAAGTTGTAGGGTGTTAGCCTTTATTTTAAAAGTTCAAGGCATGGGGCTGGGAAGGTGGCTCAGTGGTAGAGCGCTTGCCTTGCGTGCATGAGGCCCTGGGTTCGATTCCTCAGCACCACATAAGCAAAAAGAAAAAAGCCAGAAGTGGCGCTGTGGCTCAAGTGGTAGAGTGCTAGCCTTGAGCTGAAGAGCTGAGGGACAGCGCCCAGGCCCAGAGTTCAAGCCCCACGACCGGACCCAAAAAAAAAAAAAAGTTCAAGGCTTGCCCATGTAATTGTAACCCCTCTGTACATTATTTTCACAAAAAAAAAGACAAAAAAAAAGTTCAAGGCCACCAGGCACTGGTGGTCAAGCCTGTAATCCTAGCTATTCAGGAGGCTGAGATCCTAGGATTGCAGTTCAAAGACAGCCCAGGTAGGAATGTCTATGTCCATGAGACTCTGATCTCCAATTAACTACCAAAAACCAGAAATGGCACTGTGACTCAAGTGGTGTAGGGCTTGCCTTGAGCTGATGAGCTGAGGGACAGTGCCCAGTCCCAGAGTTCAAGCCCCATGATAACCAAATAAATAAATAAATAAAACAAAAATAAATAAATAAAAGTTCAGGGACAACGCCCAGGCCCTGAGTTCATGACCCAGGACCAGCACCAAAAAAGAAGAAGGAGGAGGAGGAGGAAGAGTATGAGGAGGAGGAGGAGGAGAAGAAGAAGAAGGAAGGGAAGAAAGAAAAAAAGAGAAAAAGAAAAAAAGAAACATGAGGGAGACCACATATGGAGAAATACAAAGGTCCATGGAGAAAGTGAGGAAATTTCATACCTCATCCAAGTCCTCTAGGGTCCTGGGTGGAGTCCCAAGCTGACATGTAGGGAAAAGGACAAGGACATGGATAGGGATTGCTGAATCCAGGTGTGAGGATGGAAATCACTGGGACAGAGTGTGTGGATTCTAATGGCATCAAACACCACACATGACTTAGCATGGGGAGAGGAAAGTCTGGAGTTCGCTATCTCTTGGGTAGGAAATCAGAGAAAAGTGACCTTTGGTGGTCCAGGCTGTTCAGGTCATCAGCTCCTGGCACTTTCGCCTCCCAGCCTGTTCAGTCTAACACATAAGATGGTTAGTAAAAATCCCAATAAAGCTGTTGTGCTGGTGGCTCATGCCTGTCATCTTAGCTACTCAGGAGGCTGAGATCTGAACATCATAGTTCAAAGCTAGCCTGGGAAGGAAGATGTATGAGACTGGTATCACCAATGAACTCTCAAAAAGCCTGAAATGATACTGTGGCTCGAAGTGGTAGAGCACTAGCTTTGAGCAAAAGGGCTCAGGGATAGTGTCTAGGCCTGAGTTCATGCTGCAAGACACACATGTAATGAATCTAAATCCCTGATCTCCTGGCAGACTATTCTGCCTCCCAGCCAGTGTCACCTCTTCAGTACAAGGCAAGACCTGTCACGATACAGACTGCAAGCTGGCTGCCCAACAGAACTGTCTGCCACTCCCAATGAAGAGGTGACTGTGGTCTCCTGGATATCAACCCAGAGCTTCTGCTTACTGGGGAGTGGGGGGGGGGTGTCTCTGAGTCAATGCGCCTCGGGTGCGTGGGGCCAGCCATGCTTTGGGCTGCGGTCTGGCAGGGGCTGGGGGCGGTTGGGAAGCCTGGGGCCCCTCTCTGGCAAAAATAGTCCGAAGTGGTTAGAGCTATGAGGGTGAGTCAAGCAGGAGTGCGGTGGCGCCTAACCCCTTCACTGCCGCTGGAATTCCTTAAGGCTTTTCCCCCACCCTGTGCCTGGACACCCCAAGACTGGGTTCTATCCCAGTTGCCTATGAGCTGAGCTCAATTTGGAAACTTGAGGCCTTCCTCAGACCCTAGGAAGAAAATCTGCGAGCGTGGAGCAGGAATCTCAGCCATGAGAATTGCAACCCCACCAAGAAATGTCGGGAGAGAAACCCTTGATTGCCTACCAGGGAAGAGAGGCGCAAGGGCAGAACTACCTGAGGTTCGTGTGTGTGTGTGTGTGTGTGTGTGTGTGTGTGTGTGTGTGTTCCAGGCCAAATTCCGAGGCCAAAGTTGACCCCTCCCAAGGGGCAGGCTTGGGCTCCGAGGTGGGCGGGGGCCAAGCCACTCGGCGGGGCGGCGGCGCAGCGCCTTTCTCCGCGGGCTCCGAGTGACCCGTGGTGCGCTCACTCGCTGGACTCACCAAGCGACTGTCCAACGTCTGAAACCAAAGACAGTCCAGCTCCGTCCTCCTCTTGTTAAAGGAGCTCACCATCCACCCCGCTGTCGCTGGAGAAACTGAGGCAAAGGGGAAAATGATGAAAGACAGTGCCATTTGGATCAGGTCCTGCTTTCTTCCTAGGCTGGATCTTTGAACCCTCCCAAGAGCAGGTGAGAGGGACTTGTAGCCGTCTCCTCCTTCAGTGGGGCCAAGCCTGAATCGGGGCGTCGGGGGAAAGGGTGTGTGTGTATGTGTATGTGTACGCTGGAAGGGGGGGCAGAGGGCTGTGTTCCCCTGGTCAAGGCGGGGTGGGGGGGTGCGAAGGGGTGGGGTGGGGATGCCCGGGGCTCGGGGAGGGGCCGCAGCTCCGTCAGCTCCAGTCGAGCCGCCTGTAAGTTAGGACCGAGCCGAGGCAGAGCCCCCAGTGCTTTTCTAGCTTGCTGGTTCTCTTGATCACTCCCTCCCTTCTTCCTCCCTCCCTTCCTCCCGGCGGCCGCGGCGGCGCTGGGGAAGCGGCGCAGAGGAGTGGCCCGGCCCTGGAAGAATGCGGCTCTGCCGAGGGGGCAGAGCCCGATCCAATCTCCCCACGGTTTAAAGCAGTCCAAGCGGAGCTCAGGCGACGCAGCCGCGCGGGTCGCAGACCGTGCAACCCGAACCACTGGAGGTAATGGGACCTGGGAAAGCAAGGGAGGGCAGAGAGGTACACATTTGGGACCGGATAGGCACATGGATAAGTCAGACAGACAGACAGATACACATCCAGCCACAGGAGCACAGACAACACAGAGAGAGCCAGAGATATTGCTAGAGATAAAAGCACAGAGAATAAAGGAGTGTCTCCAAATTTAGAGGGCAATGAACTGGAGAGCAAAGAGGTGGGGACCGAGGTTGAGAAACGTGGGGACCAGAAAGCATGTCCTTAGGTAAAGGGGTTGGGAGGGGGAAGAGAGAAGAGGACAATGTCCCTCGCTGGCGCCAGGTTTCCTTCATGGTCTTTGTCACACCTGGAGCCTCTCTACTTTTCCTGCTAGGTGGGCCAGGGCATAAAGTGGGGGCGGGGAGGCTGGTCTTAGACCCTTCTGCTAGAGCTTGCCTGCTATTGTCAGCACCTGGAAAGGACATCCCCTCATGTGGTGGGGAACCCCCTTCCTGATCTCTCTGCTAGCCCATAGGGGTGGAGAAGCCAGTTGTGGGGCCCTGGAAGAGGGAGCAGTGGGTGAGGTCCTGAAGTGAGAGGTGGAGAGTCCAACTCTGTGTGTGTGTGTGTGTGTGTGTGTGTGTGTGTGTGTGCGCCCAGCATTGTGTCTGATTGGATAGGGTTGGGAGGGAGTGCTCTTGGAGTCTTCTCTTTAAGGCTCTAGAACTCAAGAGTTGGGGGGGTGTGATTCTAGTTGCTTTGTTAGGGGATGGGTAAAAAAGATCAATGAGGTGGCATCGGTGGCTCAGGACATTTAAGGAGAGCATCCTTAGGTTTCTGGGACCCTCTTCTAGAACCCTAATCATCGTGCCCAACAGGCGGTTGACCCATCTGCCCACCGGAGCCTCCGGGCTTCGACATGCTGGAGGAGCCCCTGCTACGGCCACCGCCCTCGGGCCTCGCCGGTCTCCTGTTCTTGGCCTTGTGCAGTCGGTGAGTTGTCCCTGTCTTCCAGCTGGGATGGGGAAGTGTGTGTGTGTGTGTGTGTGTTTGTGTGTGTGTGTGTTGGGGATATTGGAGAGAATGTGAGGCTTGGGCCACAGACTCCCCCCCCCCTCCAAGATGCCTTCTCGGTTCCTAGGGCTTTAAGCAATGAAATTTTGGGCCTGAAGCTGCCCGGTGAGCCGCCACTGACAGCCAACACAGTGTGCTTGACACTGTCAGGCTTGAGTAAGCGTCAGCTAGGCCTGTGCCTGCGCAGCCCCGACGTGACAGCGTCCGCACTTCAGGGTCTGCACATTGCTGTCCACGAGTGTCAGCACCAGCTGCGCGACCAGCGCTGGAACTGCTCAGCGCTCGAGGGCGGTGGCCGCCTGCCGCACCACAGCGCCATCCTCAAACGCGGTGAGCCTGGCTGGGCGGGTCAATGCTGCCGCCCAGGCTTAGGGGGTGGGTTGGGTTTTTTTTTTGGGGGGGGGAGCAGGTAGAGGCGAGAAGGGACCAGTTCACCGCTCTGAGAGGGGCCTCTCCGGGAATTTCCCTCCTGGGAGCCACGCAGAGCCGGCTCTGGCCACCCGTCTGTGTCTCTTTACTTCCACCTGCGGGCTGCTGGCAAGGCAGCCCAGTGCCTGTTCCCCTTTCCTTAGCCAGCCCCCCTCCCTTTCCTGCCTCCACCCAGCGCTGTCTGGGGTTGCACCTGTGAACCAGAGATGCCCCAACTTTGGAAGCTTCAAACGTCCTCCCACCCACCCTCCCCCTCCCTCATTTTTCCTCTCCCTTCTCTCTCCACCGGGACAAGCCCAGGCTGGTGTCCCCAGAGTCTCAGCGGGGGTGGGGTGACGCCCCCAACCGTTTAAGGGTTAAACCTGCTCCCCTAATTGCTGGGGTTCCCAGGAGCCAAAGCTGGGAACAAAGACCCTGATGGCTTTGAAGCTGGGGAGCAGCCCCTTCCTCCGTGCTGTGGGGGCCCCAGATGTCACTCACCTGAGCAGGTGAGGCATGGCTGGAGGGGTGGTGAACAGGCCACTGCTGGCCTGGTCTGGAAGGATGGTCTGGGAGGCTCCATTGCCTCTCCCCAAGTCCTGCTGGAAGTTCATGCCCTGGAGGAGTAAAGATCCATGGGGGCAAACCCTAGGGGTGGGAGTCATGCTTTGGGGACTAGGGGGTTAATAGGCAGCTGCCTACTGCTGGGGAATTCCCAAGACGTGTGCAAACAGCTTAGCTCTTGGAGGATTGGGGGTGTGTGTGTAGGGGGGGGGGGATTGTGAGGCTGGCCTGGGAGTCCTGGATCCTGGGGTAAGAGAGGCCTAGGATCTAAGGAGCTGATGCCTTTTCTCTTCTCCGGGCACCAAAAAACCCTTGCTTAAAATGAAGCAATGGACTGACCACTCTTTTGCCAGGGGGGTAGGGAAAGGCTTCAACACCCAAATGATCAGCAAGTCTATCTAAACTTGGGAAAGCATTGTCATCCTTAGCCTCTGTGACCCCCCCCCCAAAAACAACAACAACAACAACAACGAAGAGGTCAAGATTTTAAGAGGGCCTTTGGGAAAATCACACCATTCCCCACCCCCTTTTCTTCTCCTCCTAGTATTTTATAGGGTAATGGCAGGTTAGGATAAACATAAAGGGCACTCTTGAAGGGCAAATATAAACCCAGGAACCTGGGACTGGGAAAGGCAGCCCCACAGCCTCCAGTGTGTTGGGGGTGTTCCAGTAGTAGAGGGTAGACTGGTTAAAAGACTAATTTAAATAACCCTGAAAAAAAAATAAAAGAAGAACCTCTAAGAGTTCGGCTTGGCACACCTCACCCATCACCCAAGCTCCCTGCAGGGCTAGGGAATTTCTAAGTCTTTCAGATGTAGAACTCCTTGAACACATCTTCAAAGCCCTCAGGGACTTCCTCACAGTCCTCTCCCAATCTAGAGGGTCTCTGCCTCTGGGCTGACTCTTTCATCTGCACCTGAGTTTACAGTGTCTGAGAAGGAGCCTTAGAGATCATATTGGACCCGTGGGTCTCCCTTTATATATAAGGAGACTGATACCATGTCCGTTCTTTCCTGCCCCATGACTTTCTTCTCTGAATTCACTCAGCTGGTTAAAATTCAGTTAGAAAATTTCTGGCAAGGAGGTGGACTACGTCTCTATTCCCCTCCGCCTATCCACTTTATTTGCACCATTATACCCTTCTTTCTCATCCCCAGGTTTCCGGGAAAGTGCTTTCTCCTTCTCCATGCTGGCAGCTGGGGTCATGCACGCAGTCGCCACAGCCTGCAGCCTGGGGAAGCTGGTGAGCTGTGGCTGTGGCTGGAAGGGCAGTGGTGAGCAGGACCGGCTGAGGGCCAAGCTGCTGCAGCTGCAAGCACTATCTAGGGGCAAGAGTTTCCCCCACTCCCTGCCTAGCCCTGTGCCTGGTTCAGGCCCCAACCCTGGCCCTCAGGACACATGGGAATGGGGTGGCTGTAACCATGACATGGACTTTGGAGAGAAGTTCTCTCGGGATTTCTTGGATTCCAGGGAAGCTCCTCGAGACATCCAGGCACGAATGAGGATCCACAACAACAGGGTGGGACGCCAGGTATGTGTGTGTGTGTGTGTGTGTTGTTGTCCTGGGTCTCTCCAGGTTTTCTTTCGTTTGTTTCTTTTTTCCTCCTGCTCCTCCTCCTCCTCTTCTTCCTCCTCCTATTTCTTGTTAGTCAAGGAATTTGAACTCAGGGCCTGGGCACTGTCCCTGAGCTCTTTTGCTCACAGTGCTCCATTTGGTTTTCTGATAGTTAACTGGAGGTAAAAGTCTCAAGGACTTTTCTGCCCAGGCTGGTTTTGAACTGTGATTCTCAGATGTCAGCCTCCTGAGTAGCTAGGACTACAGGTGTGAGCCACCAGTGAGTGCCCTGCCATCCCCTGGTATTTCCCATTTTGTTTTTCTATCCTTTATCTCCCCTCTTCCTCTTTCTCTTCCTCCTCCTCCTCCTCCTTCTTCTTTTTTTTTTTTTGTTGGTTGTGGGGCTTGAACTCTGGGCCTGGGCGCTGCCCCTCAGCTCTTCAGCTCAAGGCGAGCACTCTACCACTTGAGCCACAGCGCCACTTCAGGTTTTCTGGTGATTTATTGGAGATCAGAGTCTCACAGATTTTTCCTGCCTGGGCTGGCTTTGAACCATGATACTCAGATCTCAGCCTCTTGAGTAGCTAGGATTACAGGCATGAGCCCCCGACACTTGGCTCTTCCTCCTTTTTGGTGCTGGTACTGGGGTGTGAATTTGGGGCCTGAGTACTGTCTCTGAGCTTTTTCAAAGCTAGTGCTCTACCACTGGAGCTACAAGCCAGTTATGGGGCTCTAACTCAGGGCCAGTATGCTTTTCCTGAGCTTCCCCCCCCCCCTCAAAGCTAGCGCACTACTGCTCTGAGCCAAAGCTCTACTCTACTTCTCCAGATTTTTTTTTTTTTTGCCTGTTTGGGGCTTGAACTCAGGGCCCAGGTGCTGTCCCTGAGCTGCTTTGTGCTCAAGGCTAGCACTCTACCACTTGAGCCACAGCCTCCACTTCCAGCATTTTCTAAATAGTTTAGTGGAGATGAGTCTCACAGGATTTCCTGCCAGGGCTGGCTTTGAACTGTGATCCTCAGACCTCAGCTCCTGAGTAGCAAGAGTTACAGGCATGAGCCACTGGACTTGCCTTCCCCAGCTTATTGATAGTTAATTGGAGATACAAGTCTCACAGACTTTCCTGCCCAGGCTGGCTTTGAGTTGCAATCCTCAGATCTCAGTCTCCTGAGTAGCTAGGATTACAGGCTTCAGCCACTTGTACCCAGTACCCAGCAGCTCCCTCTTCCCTTTCCTTTTTCTTTTCCATTTTCTTTTCTTCTTTTGGTGATGAAGTTTTGCTGTGTAGCCCTAAGAAGTTTGGCCTCCTACCTCAGCCTCTCCAGTGTTAGGATTACAGGTGTGTATCACCATGTCTGTTTCTCTCTTTCTTTGAAAACTGACTAGAGTGAGTCTGAGATTCCCAGCAGAGTAACTGGATGAGGTGTCATAGGAGATCATCGCTTGCCATTAGCAAGTCACCCAGCCTAGGTTTTACATCTATGGAAAGAGCCTGATGATAACCCACAATTACAGTGATGTTAAAGCTGAGCTAGCAAACAGTGAGCCCCATATACGACTAGTCCTTGGCTCATTACATGACAGCTGTTATTATAGCTGTATGTCCTACAGGCTTTTGGGAGTGCCGTAGGTCACATTTCCCGTTTTATCAGTAGTTATTCTGGAAATAGCATTGAATTGAGAGTCAGGGCAACTGAAGTCCAGTCTTGGTTCTGTTACTAAATAGGGATTAAATGGGCAAATCACACTGCTTTGGCAATCCTTCAGTCATAAAGAGTTGCCTTTGGCTGGGAGTGTGGCTTAGTGGTAGAGCGTTAGCCTAGCATTCATGAAGCCCTGGGTTCGATTCCTCAGTACCATATAAATAGAAAAAGCCAGAAGTGGTGCTGTTGCTCAAGTGGTAGAATACTAGTCTTGAGCAAAAGAAGCTCAGGGACAGTGCCCAGGCCCTAAGTTCGAGCCCCAGGACTGGCCAAAAAAAAAAAAAGAAGAAGAGGAAGAGGTGCTGGGAAGGTGGCTCAGTGGTAGAGCGCTTGCCTTGCATGCATGAGACTCTGGGTTTGATTCCTCAGCACCACATAAGCAAAAAGAAAAAAGCCGGAAGTGGTGCTGTGGCTCAAGTGGTAGAGCGCTAGCCTTGAGCTGAAGAGCTGAGGGGCAGCGCCCAGGCCCAGAGTTCAGGCCCCACAACTGGAACCCCCCCCCCACACACAAAATGGAAGTGGTGCTGTGGCTCAAGTGGTAGAGCGCTAGCCTTGAGCTGAAGAGCTGAGGGGCAGCGCCCAGAGTTCAGGCCCCACGACTGGACCCCCCGCAAAAAAAGAAGAGTTACCCTTTCTCTTCTAATATTCCCTTTGCTCTCTCCTTCATTCTCTACCCTTTCCTCTCCTGCATCCATGTAATCTACTTATTGCTGCTCCTGCTCCTGCTCCTCCTCCTGCTCCTCTTCCTGCTCCTCCTCCTCCTCCTCCTCCTTCCTGTGGTGATCCTGAGCCTTAAACTGAGAGCCTGGCCACTGTCCCTGAGCTTTATTGCTTAATACTAGTGCTCTACCCACTTGAATCACAGCTACCCTTACAGCTTTCTGGTGGTTAGTAGGAGATAAGAATCTTACAGGCTTTCCTGCCCTGGCTGGCTTCAAATCACGATCTTCAGATCTCAGTCTCATGAGTAGTGAGGATTACGAGTGGCACTTGGTTTGTTGCCCTCTTCTCACCTCTTTCCTCTCTGATGCTTCTAGGTGGTAACTGAAAACCTGAAGCGAAAATGCAAGTGTCATGGGACATCAGGCAGCTGCCAGTTCAAGACATGCTGGAGAGCAGCCCCAGAGTTCCGGGCCGTGGGAGCAGCTTTGAAAGAGCGGCTGGGCAGAGCCATCTTCATCGATACTCACAACCGGAATTCTGGAGCCTTTCAACCTCGTCTGCGCCCCCGGCGCCTCTCAGGAGAGTTGGTCTACTTTGAGAAGTCTCCTGACTTCTGTGAGCGAGACCCCACCGTGGGCTCCCCTGGCACAAGAGGCCGGGCCTGCAATAAGACCAGTCGCCTGTTGGATGGCTGTGGCAGCCTGTGCTGTGGGCGAGGGCACAATGTGCTTCGGCAGACACGTGTGGAACGCTGCCACTGTCGCTTCCACTGGTGCTGTTATGTGCTGTGTGATGAATGCAAGGTCACAGAATGGGTCAACGTGTGTAAGTGAGGGTCACCCTCTTCTTGGGGCTAGAGAAGGGGGCTGTATGAGAAGGGCATCTTTTCAGCCCTTTGCTTTTGGTCCAGGGCCAATCTCGATCCCTGGAATCTCAAAAGTATCTATCCAGAAACAGCTTGGATGTGTATGGGGGAACAGGTGAAGTCTGTGCTATGTAGCCATCTCCCAACAATTGGAAGGTCTTCCAGTGATGGAAGCCATTACTACCATCTGCTCTTCACACATCTAAATGGTTAGAGATGAAATGCACTGTATTGCTTTCCCCCTTCTCAGCCTCCACGGTCTCTTTAACTCTGATTCATACTCCTTCTGGCTGGGGAGGCCCTATACTATGGCCACTCTCCTTTCCTCAAAGGATAAATCCAGACCCTCTGGGACACTATTGTCCTATATCTAAAAAGAGACCACTCCCTCCTACTTGTGGTTTCCAAACTCAGATCTACCACAATTTGGATGCCCTCATATGGACTGGGAATCAGGAATGGTAGAGATGTTTTTCTTGGAGAAAGGATGGGGGAAGGATGGTGTTTCTCCCCTGAATCTTCAGAGAGTCTTTGATCCAGGACCTTAGGGAAGATGTCTTTTTCCATTCATGTTAAAAAAAAAAAAAAAGGTCTCTCTAAAGAAAGGGTTTTACCTGGGACTCTTGGAGTCTCTTTCTCTCTCTTTTTTTTCCTTCTTCAGTAAGAGGGGTGGGAATGGATAATTTATTGTACTGAGACTTGTTTGAAACAAAAATAAATTAAGCTACTGACTAGTGGACTGATGACATATCTAGACACACTTGGATTGTCAGCTTATGGTTTCTTTTTTTGTCATTTGTGTGGTTTGAACTCAGAGCCTGGGGGGCTGTCCCTGAGTTCTTTCACTGGAAGCTAGTGTTCTACCACTTTGAGCGACCGTGCCACTTCTGGTTTTTTGAGTGGTTAATTGGAGATAAGATTCTCATAGGGACATTTCTACACAGGCTGGCTTTGAACCACAATTCTCAGATCTCAGCCTCCTGAACAGCTAAGAATATAGGCGTGAGCCACCTGCACCCAGCTGAATTCTATACCGTTATACTCACTAACTTCATTTATGTATATCCTGCTGAGTTCCACACAGGATTTGGAATGATCCTCATGACTTAACTGACAAAATTGAGTTTGCAAAACCAGGAGGGAATTCTAGGGATGGAGGGCTAGAGATCTTAATGTAGACCTCCTTCTCAACTCAGCACAACTCCAATGATCACTTTGATCCCTGCCTTCAATGAGGCTTGAACTTTTTTTTTTTTCTTGTAAAAGGTAAATGTAGTAGGCTATGTGCATCATGGTCTTTGTCTCATATACTCAACTCTGCTATAACGACTCACCTCTGCAGCTATAGACCAAAAGCAGCCACAGAAGGGTGTGAGTGTAGAGAGAAATAAAAGCAGCCATAGACCATGAATGAGTGAATGGGAGTGGCTGTTTTCAATAAAACTTAATTCACAAAAATTGACTGCAGTACCAGATTTAGTCCTCTGGCTACATTGTGGTTGGCCCTTATCCTATATATTAGGAAGTCTTCTCTGCTTTGATGGTACTGGGATTTGAACTCAGGGTCTCTTGCTTGTTCACTTGGTGGCACTCTACTGCTTAAGTCATGCCTCCAGCCCTGAGTTTTGCTGGTTATTTTTTGGAGTGGAGTCTCTGGAACTTTTCTGCCCCCACTGGCTTTGAATCCTAATCCTCTGGATCTTAACTTCCTGAATAATTACTTCCTGAGGATTACAGGAATGAGCCACCAGTGCCCAGATGATGTATGTATCTTAGCTCTGAACTATGATCCAAAAGGTACTTTTCTGCCTCAAAACCAGAGATCTACAGAAATAGCTGTAAGACTGATGGGAAACATACAAAAAGAATTTTTATGCTCAAAATTGAAGATTTGCCTTTATTTATTTTTTTGGTTGGTCCTGGGGCTTGAACTCAGGGCCTGGTTGCTATCCCTGAGCTTTTTTGCTCAAAGCAAGTGCTCTACTACTTTGAGCCACAGCTGCAGTTCCACTTCTGGATTTCTGGTGGCTAATTAGAGATTAGTCTCCAGACTTTGGACTTTCTTGCCCAATCCCACTTTGAACTGTGATCCTTGGGTCTCACCCTCCTGAGTAGCTAAGATTACAGGTGTGAGCCACCACTGCCGCTGCTGTTTTGTTGTGTTTTTTTTTTTTTTTAATTTTGTTTTAGTGGTACTGGGGTCTGAATTCCAAACATGCTCCCTAGGCAGACATTGCTGAGTCATGCCTCTAGCTACTTGTCTTAATTTGTGCCAGTACTGGGTTGGATTTTTCACTTACTGCTGGTTACTCCATCATTTGAGCCATATTTCTACTTACAACTTTTTGCTGTCTAATAGGAAAGAAGAGTCTCTTGATGTGTCTGCTCCAGCTGGCTCCAAATTGTGATTCTCCGATCTCAACTGCCTGAGTAGCTAGGACTATAGGCAAGAGCTCTCTGCACTCAGTTTTTTGGGTGTGTGTGTCTGTGCGTGGCCTTGAACTAGTGATCTTCTTGCCTCAGCCTCCTGAGTGCTGAGGCTGCAAGGACCATACCCAGCTAAATATGGGAGTCCCTCCCCTCCCCAGAAACCACCAGAGCTACCACGCTTTACCACTGAATTATTTGCAAATGTATTTTGCCCTTCCCTATTCAGGGTTTCTTCATATTTAATAGTAAAACAATTCCTTTATCTAAGTGGTAGAGTGAACAGAATTTCTTTTGTTTCAGTCTCTCTATTCCTAGTTCTATCTTAGAGAAAAAAAACAACCAAAACTTATCTTTTCAGTATACAATGTGAAAAATGAATACAACACACAGAGAGAACTTTACAAATGGCTATATGGGTAGGGGCCTTCTAGACTGTGATTTTTTTTGGGGGGGTCCGGTCGTGGGGCCTGAACTCTGGGCCTGGGCACTGTCCCTCAGCTCTTCAGCTCAAGGCTAGTGCTCTACCACTTGAGTCACAGCACCATTTCTGGCTTTTTTCTTTTTTGCTTATGTGGTGCTCAGGAATCGAACCCAGGGCCTCAAGCATGCAAGGCAAACACTCTACCACTGAGCCACCTTCCCAGCCCTAGATTGTGATTTTTGATGAGTTACTGCCTTTGTTGGGGAACACAGAAATAATTCCACTTCTCTAAGGCAATAGATATGTCTACTCTATACAATTACCCTTGCTTAAGTCAGTCAAAGTAAAAGTAGTACCAGAGTAGCAAGTAAAATTTGAGGAGTGTTAAGTTAGGGAGTAATTTTTTTTTTTTTTTTTTTGCTGATACAGGGGCTTACCCTCAGGGCCTGGCCTCTGTCCCTGAGCTTCTTTTTTTGCTCAAAGCTAGTGCTCTACCACATGAGTTACAGTGCCACTTCTGGCTCTTTTTGATAATTTATTAATGATAAGAGTCTCTCAGATTTTGCTGACTGGGCTGGCTTGAACCATAATCCTCAGATCTCAGCCTTCTGAGTAGTAGGATTACAGGTGTGAACCAACAGCACATAGCTATAGCAACTTTTTGTGTGTGTGTGTGCTAGTACTAGGGCTTGAACTCAAAGCCTGAGCACTGTTCCTTAGCTTTTTCGCTCAAGGCTGGCTTTCTTTTTTTATTTTTTATTATTTTTTTTTGGGGGGGTGGTCCAGTCGTGGGGCCTGAACTCTGGGCCTGGGCACTGTCCCTCAGCTCTTCAGCTCAAAGCTAGCGCTCTACCACTTGAGCCACAGCACCACTTCTGGCTTTTTTCTTTTTGCTTATGTGGTGTTGAGGAATCAAACCCAGGGCCTCATGCATGCAAGGCAAGCGCTCTACCACTGAGCCAACTTCCCAGCCCCAAGGCTGGCATTCTATCACTTGAACCCACCTCCACTTCCAGCTTTTTGCTGTTTAACTGAAGATAAAAGTCTCATGGACTTTCCTGCTCAGGCTGGTTTTGAACCATCATCCTCATATTTCAGCCTCCTGAGTAGCTAGGATTACAGGCTTGGGCCACCAGAGCTAAGCAACTTTTTTTTTGGTGAGTTATGGGGCTTGAACTTTGGGCCTAGGTGCTATCCCTGAGCTCTTCAACTCAAGGCAAGCATCCTACCACTTGACCCATAGTGCCACTTCCTGTTTCCTAGTGGTTACTTGGAGATAAGTCTCACAAACTTTCCTGCCTGGGTTGGCTTTGAACCGCAATCCATAGATCTCAGCCTCCTGAGTAGCTAGGATTACAGGCGTGAGCCACCTGAGCAACATTTTATGTCCTAAATTTTCACTTGAGCACCAAAACTTCTGGATTTGGAAATTTGGTGGTGCCAGAAAATAGCTAATCCTTGCTTCAGGTGGTTGCTGAATTAGTCTATATGGGAGGAAGGGAAAGAGTGAAGGGATACAGTAAAAATGGGGATAGGCTATAAGGAACATATCTAAAGAACATACTGAGGGGGAATAGCTCACCTTCAGAAAGAGGAAGGAGAATCTCAAATGGAGTTGTAGCAAGAATACTTAAACTTTCTCCTGTTTCCTTCCTCTGTAATGCCTTTGGCTCTCTCTCTTTTGTAGCTTCCCCACTTCTTTCATCCGACACACTCTGTGGCAAACTTAAGACCCAAACCACAACCTTGACAAATTCCAAATGGATTTTGTCAGCAAGGCCAACATCTCCCTGCCTCCCACTCTCGGCACACGCACTGGGCTCAGCCCCAGGCCTGGGGTCAGTGATGGGGTGGGAGTATGCAACCCACAGAGCTGGTGGCTACAATTCCAAGTTTTTACTAGGTTCCAGAGGCAGCTAGAGGGAGGGGGAAAAGCCTGATAAACTCTTAAGTCAGGCCTCAGGCCCCTGTCAGCTATGGATAATCTCTTCTTATCCCTTTACCAAGTGACTGAGAAACTGGAGAGTGGCAGTGACTAGTTAATTAACACCTAGACAACATTCCTTTAATCTCTGCTTTTGTTTATACCATGATGCTACAAAAACACTTTCTTTGTGCCTAGACTTAGCCTTGAACTCAGGGCCTGAGTACTGGCCCTTTAGCTTTTTTCACTGAAGACTGACATTCTACCACTTGAGCCATACCTCCATTCCTACTTTTTGGTGATTAATTGGAGGTAAGAGTCTTATGGATTTTACTCTCTGGGATGTCTTTGAACTGTGACTCTCAGATCTCAGCTTCCTGAATAGCTAGGATTGCAGTTGTGAGATCCTCAGTATAGGAAAAAATTATTCTCGAGTTTTCAGAGGGACTAAGGACAGGAGACCTGAGAGTTTCTCTTGTCCAGTTCATCAATCTTGGAGTCAAATACCACGGTACTTGCTGCTCACCATATTAGTCACTATCCTGATTCTTTTGTCACACCTGAGACAAAACTTTGAGAGGATCTGAAGCCTTGGGCAGGAACATCCACTAACAGGTTATATCTTCTGGTCAGAGTACAAGGCATATTGGTGTGGCTGGGGCACTAGGGAAAGGGGTAGAGGTTGTTTTTGTTTTCTTTTTTTTTTTTTTTGGTTCAGTTGTGGGCCTGAACTCTGGGCCTGGGCACTGTCCCTTAGCTCTTCAGCTCAAAGCTAGTGCTTTACCACTTGAGCCACAGCACCACTTCCAGCTATTTTTCTTTTTTCTTATGTGGTGCTGAGGAATCGAACCCAGGGCCTCATGCATGCAAGACAAGTGCTCTGCTACTGAGCCACCTTCCCGGCCCCAGGGGTAGAGGTTGTAAGACATAATTTTGGTGGACATTACCAGGTATAACCTACTGAGGTTGTCATTAAAATTTTCTAGGAAAAGGAATGGATAGGCTAGTCACATGAATGTTACAAGAGTGCACTGCAGAAGTATACAATTGTGGGGCTGGGAAGGTGGCTCATTGGTAGAGTGCTTGCCTTGCATGCATGAGGCCCTGGGTTTGATTCCTCAGTACCACATAAGCAGAAAAAGACAGAAGTGGCACTGTGGCTCAAGTGGTAGAGCACTAGCCTTAGACTGAAGAGCTGAGGAACAGCACCCAGGCCCAGAGTTCAGGCCCCATGACTGAAGGGGGGAAAAGTGTACAATTGTATTGGAGAAGTATTTTGACTTGAAAACCCTAGATCATAGCAATGAGTCAGGACATATATAATTTCTGTGTGTGTGTGATATAATTTGTGTGTGTGCATGCGTGCACGTGCATGTGCGTGTATGCGCAAACATGCCCATACTTGGGTAAACTCAGGGCTTTGTGATCTCTCTTAGCTTTTGTGTTCAAGGCTGACAGTTTACCACACCTCTACTTACTGCTTTTGCTAGTTAACTGGAGATAGTCTCATGGATTTGTTTGCTTAGGATGGTTCAAACTGTGAATCTCAGATCTCAGCCTCCTGAGTAGCTAGGATTATAGGCATAAGCTTACCAGTATCCAGCTACAGATAAAAGTTCTTTTTGTCCATTTCATTTTCCCTTTTTTTTTTTGTCGGTCATGGGGCCTGAACTCTGGGCCTGGGTGCTGTCCCTCAGCTCTTCAGCTCAAAGGGAGCACTCTACTACTTGAGCCACAGCACCACTTCTGGCTTTTTTTGCTTATGAGGAATCGAACTCAGGGCCTCATGCATGTAAGGCAAGCACTCTACCACTGAGCCACCTTCCTAGTCCCCCATCCTTTTTTCCCCCCAGTCCTGGGGCTTGAACTCAAGCTTGGGCACTGTCCCTGAGCTTCTTTTGCTCAAGGCTAGTGCTCTAACACTTGACCCACAGTGCTACTTTCAGCTTTTTTTTGGGGGGGGGGCCCGTCATGGGGCCTGAACTCTGGGCCTGGGCACTGTCCCTCAGCTCTTCAGCTCAAGGCTAGCGCTCTACCACTTGAGTCATGGCGCCACTTCCGGGTTTTTTCTTTTTTGCTTATGTGGTGTTGAGGAATTGAACCCAGGGCCTCAGGCATGCAAGGCAAGCGCTTTACCACTGAGCCAACTTCCCAGCCCCTTTCAGCTTTTTCTGCTTATGTGGTACTAAGGAATCAAACCCAGGGTTTCATGCATGCTAAATGAGCACTCTATCACCTTTCCAGCCCCATCTTTTGTGTGTGTGTGTGTGTGTGTGTGTGTGTGTGTGTGCCAGTCCTGGGGTTTTAAACTCAGGGTCTGGGTGGTACTGTTCCTGAAATTCTTTCTCTCAAGTTTAGCACTCTACCCTGAGCCACAGTGCCATTTCCAGCTTTTCTGAGTAGTTTACTGGAGATGAGTCTCACAGACTTTCTTGTCCAGACTGGGTTTGAATCACAATCCTCAGATCTCGGTCTCCTGAGTAGCTAGGATTACAGGTGTGAGCCACTGACACCTGGCTTCATCCTCCCACCTTAAATTAGGGTCCTCTTAGCGACATATACTAGGATCTTGTTATGTTTCAGATAACTTAAAAATGAAGACAGACTAAATCAAGGATTGATGAGGCAAGGAAGACAACAAATCGAGAAGACTGACAATTTTGGCTCCAGCTTTAGGGAACAGCCATGTGTTCCCTTACACTGCAGAAAAATGAGAGGGCATTTAAAGAACCTTCTGTTCCTAGCACTACTAGTGCCCTTCTAGCATAACTTCTAACATAGCTGTGACTGTTCCAAAAGCAGTTTTGCATGTCTTCACCAGGCACAAAAATGAGTGTGAATGAAGTGGGGATGGGTAAGAAGAAACATGGGTGCAAAGTCCTTCACTTTTCCTCAGGATACTAATTTAGACTTCACCAGACAACACCTCTGCATATTAGGCTTCAGTCCTTTGTCTTTCAAGTACCAACTTCGTAACTGGCCAAGAGTCCTGTGGCTTCTTTTAGTCTCTTAAATTCATTGCTCTTCCTCCTATCAGAAAAGATTTTTTTTAGTGTGTGTGTGTGTGTGTGCATACTTACACATGCTAGTCCTGGGGCTTTAACTCAGGGCCTGAGCGCTCTCTCTGAACTTCTTTTTGCTCCAAGGGATAGCACTCTATCACTTAAGCCACAGCTCCACTCCCTACTTTTTTGTTGGTTAAATGGAGATGAGTCTCACAGACTGCTTGGACTGGCTTTGAACAGGGATATTCATATCCTAGCCTCCTGAGTAACTAGCATTACAGGTTTGAGCCACAGTTCCAGCATTTACTTCACTTTGGTGACAAGGTATATGTAGCAATGTAATTCCAGACTGGCTTCTACCTTCAGATTGCAGGTGTGGACCACCAAGCCTGTCCCAAGGAAAGGAATTTGATTCAGAATTGGAAGTAATTTTGTCCTAGACATAGGGAGCCACAAGAACAGTGTTGCTGGGGGTAGGAGCATGAATATGTATGCAGTTAGCCTAGATGAAAACCAATAAAAAGGAAGTCTTGCAGGGTAAAAGCAGGGCAACTTAACTGCTGCTGGCTTTTCCTAAGACCCTTTGGTCAACCTCAATCTCCAGTGCAACCAGCACAGGACCACAGTCCTTAAATTCTAGATAGGGGCTGGGAGCAGTGGCTCAGCGCTGTAATCCTAGTCAGGAGGCTGAGATCTGAGGATTGTGATTTGAAGCCAGCCCAGGCTGGAAAGTCTGTGAGACTCATCGTCGATGAACCAATTAAAAGCTGGAAGTGGAGCTAGGGAGCAAATAAAGCTCAAGGACAGCTCCCAGGCCCTGAGTTCAAGCGCAGACAGACAGAGACAGACAGACAGACAGACACACACACACACACACTTCTAGAGAAGGCCCCGGAGCTTGGTATTGTCAACTTAGTCCCCACTGCCTCATCCCCATTCCCTGATGGCTCCAGCCTAGGCCCAGCCCAGTCACTTCCAGCCCCCACACCAACCCCCGCCCAAGACTCCAGCTTTCGGCGCTCTCGGTTGCTTCTGCTGCAGCCGCTGCCATGGTGATTAGGTCTCGCGAGAACTGCCGCTGGGTACCACGCAGCTCTCGCGCGATCGTGGAGGTGGGAAGTGTCCCGGGCTTGGGGGTGGGGGTGCGCCGCACAGCCTCCAGTCACCGTCGCGGCTTCCGGTGCTAGGTGGAGGGAAGGAAGGAAGGAGGGAGCCGGGGAGCGGGGCCCGGGGAGCGGAGGCTAGCCGAAGTCGGCCCTGGGAGCTTGAAGGATCGGGGAGGAGAGGAAGGGAGAGGGAGGAGAGAGCGAGCGCGCGAGGGCGAGCGAGCGCCGGGCGGATCCTGCGGGGGCGGAGGCGGCGGTCGCAGCGGCGGAGCCGGGAGCTGGAGCAGGTGAGGGGCTGGGGGCGCCGGGCGGGCCCCGCGGAGGGGCAGCGCGGCCCGGGTGGGCGCTCGGGAGGTAGACATCCCTCCTTGCCGGTGCTGCTGGGTCCTGGGCCTTTCCCCCCGGAGACCTCCGGCGTCGGGGGCGTCGGGCCAGCCCCGTGCCCGCACCCCCCCCACCACCCCGCATTTGAAGGACGCCCAGCTCGGGTGGGGGTGGGGGGCTCACACCAATTTGTCCTCGGCCGCGCCGAATGCGGGGCGATCTAGGCTGCTGTTAGGGCTTCACGCCGGCGGAACCTACGGGAGGTGGGCTTAGGGGTGACGGGGTGGAAGGATGTCCTGGAAGGGGGTGATGCGGGGGTGAGGTCGGGCTGTTTGTATCTTTTTTTTTTTTTCCTTCTTCTTCCCCTGTTAAAGAGGCTGGGGATGCTTCTCCTCCTCCCCCCCCCCCCTCCCCGTCTCTCTCCCTTTCTCCCTCCTCGTCCCTTCCCCCTTCCTCTCCCCTCCCTCTCTCCCTCTTCCTCCCCCGCCTTAGCTGTGAGAGCCTGGAGAAAAGCCTTGCTGTGGTTCCCCCCTCTCCCTCCCCCCCCATAATGGGGCCTGGGTCTGGGGCCACGGGGCACGCTGGCCAGGCCCTCCATCGTGGAGGTTGCTCCCTGGTTCTTTTAAGGAAACAGCAGGTTGGGAAGAGGGCAGCAGGTGGGGAGAGGGTGGTGTGGAGGCTGGAGCAGGGGGAGGGGGATCTGAGCGTGCTCGCAGAAGGGAGGTGGGGCCTTCCCTCCCCCGGTCACTGGCGGGGGCGGTCTCACAGGAGGAGGGAGCATCTTTGTCACTGGGCCCTGAGTTTGTGTCTTCCAATCCGCTTTCTTTCTTTAGGAAGTACGAGGATTCCCGGAACAGAAAATGGAGCCATTGCTTACGCCCCGATCCTTTGAAAGAAGGAGGGGGGAGTGGGAAGGTGAAGTTCCCTGTTAAAACAGGCCACTTGATTATTAGCCAAGTGGTAACATGTTTTGGGGGAGCTCTTTGCTTTCTGGGTTCTATTACTGCTGGTCTTCCTGTGGCCAGATCAGGAGGAATGTGCTGGGGGGAGCTGTGGTATGTAGTCAGGAGTGAGAAGAAATAGTGAGGTCATCAGGGTGAGGGAGAAGTGTAATGTAAAACCTGCCTCTGCTACTGTTGGATTGGGTCACCCCTGGTCTATGGCATGAAAGTTTTATTGGGAAGAGATCTGCTACAGGAGTCTGATTGCCTGGGTCCGTGCAACAGGATAGAATCTAGTCTCTGCATACCTTCTTTCCTGTCCCCTGTCAAACAGATGGAGACACTCTTTGCTGCCATTTTGTCTTAGGTCCATTAGGTTAATGTGTCCTTTGCTTGTTCTGACACTGGCCAGTGGATGTGTCCTTGATCTTTGGATTTAAGTTGGAATAATGTATCTGTAAAAACCCCTTCTAAGAAAGAAGCCTGACCCACTGGGGTTTCCTTTTTTTTTTTTTTTTTGCCAGTCCTGGGCACTGTCCCTGTGCTTCTTTTGTTCAAGGCTAGCACTCTATCACTTGAGCCACAGGGCATCTTCTGGCTTTTTCTGTGTATGTGGTACTGAGGATTTGAACCCAGGGCTTCATGCCCTGCTAGGCAAGCACTATACCACTAAGCCACATTTCCAGCCCTGAGGTTTCCTTTTTACCAAATGAATCATTGACCTTGGATTCAGCGAGTAATGGCTCCCATGTATCACGTATTTACCTGCTTCCCAGCATAGAATTATTACTTTGCGTAGTCAAAATTTTTTATATGTGTATGTCTTACTCTTCCGAGACTAGGAGGTTTTTGCTTGCAGGAATTGGATCGCTTCTTTTGTCCCTTAATATTAACTGCACACTGTAGGGAATGATGGACACGATTTGTGAATGTGTATGAATGTTTGGCACTCAATAAGGTTTCTAACTACAGTTTAAGGAAAGGGAAAGAGGGTAAGCCTGGTGGTTGATACTTGTAATTCCCAGCAGAGGAGGCAGAAGGGTGGAGAGTTTGAGGCCAGCCTGGGATACATAGCAAAAGCCTGTCTACAAAGGGCAGAAGTCTAGAAGGTGAGATGGCCAGGCTGTCAGTGAAAACACCTGGAGGTCGCTGAACAAGGTTGGTAGTTGTCAGATTTTGTTCTCTTCACTTTCCTCAGAGTGTAGAACAGGCATAGATAACGATGCTGCACCCCCAAAATATTTAATGAACACAAAGTCACTGTTTATTTGAAATTTTAGATTTCCTGTTTTCCCATTGTTGGTGAAGGTGTCTCTCCATCAGACCTAATCAAATTGTTTTCAGTGAATGGAAATCCTAGATAACAAAGAAGGAGCCAGTATATGTGCTTGGTACCTAGCTTCAAATGGGTACCAGTAAATGGTAGAAGCTGTTGTACTGAATGCAAGCATAAAAGTGAGCAGATAGGAACTGGGAAGGTAGCTCAGTGGTAGAACACTTGCCTTGCATGCATGAGGCCCTGGGTTCAGTTCCTCAGTACCACATAAGCAAAAAGAAAAAAGCCAGAAGTGGTGCTGTGGCTCAAGTGGTAGAGTGCTACCCTTGAGCTGAAGAGCTGAGGGACAGCGCCCAGGCCAAGAGTTCAGGCCCTACAACCGGACCCCCCCCAAAAAAAAAAGTGAGCAGATAGCAGGCTAGAATGAAAGTGACATCCCGAGTGCACAGAGGGTCATATTATTGTGTGTATTCATCTTCCCTATATTACTTTTCCACTGTAGACATAATAAGAGGAAATGGATTTAGAGGACAGAGAGTTCTATTTGTTGATCACAAAGAGGAACCTCTTCTTCTTCTTCTTCTTTTTTTTTTTTGCCAATCCTGGGGCTTTAACTCAGGGCCTGTGCACTGTCCCTCAGCTTTTGCTCAAAGCCAGCACTCTACCACTTGAGCCACAGTGCCACTTCTGGCCTTTTCTGTTTCTGTGGTACTGAGGAATCAAGCCCAGGGTTTCATGCATGCTAGGCAAGCACTCTACCACTAAGCCACATTCTGGAGGAATGTCTTTAAAATCAGATATGTTAAAGCTGAGTATATAACTGAGAAACTGTGGAATCTTCTTCCCTATATAACTGTAGAAATGGACAGCAAGAGACCTGAGAGTCAAATTATGTTGCTGTGTTTGACTTTCTTCATTGTTTTGGTTGCAGGTAAATTTAGAAGCATAATGGTATAGTGATTAAGTGAGGGGGGGGAATAATTTGAATCATATATTCTGCATCTGGTTTATACTAGTTGCATATATTTTGAAAAATTACTTGTCTTTGCTTAGCTTCATTTTCTTACCTGTAATGATAGTATCCATAGCATTTTCCAAATAGGGTTGTCATGAGAATTAAATGAGATAACAAATGTAAAGCACTTAGTATTGTACAAAGCACATAGTAAGCACCAAACAAATGTTAACTGCTATTAATAATCTACCATTATAAGAGTAAAATAAAATGAACACTCAGGGCTGCCTTAAAGGAGAGCAGTTTATAAAGGAACAACTAGCACCTGCGGTGCTTATGTGGAACAGTGATTGTTACCATGATTTTCTATGCTAGCACTGAAATATTTTTCTCAACATCAGCCCCACAGAGGCGGCTCCTGCTGTCTGAGTGGGAAGTATAGCTGGAGCAAGACAGGGGCCCTCTGCTATCAATTTGAATATAGAGTGAAGATGTGGATTTTTTTTTTTTTTGGGTCCGGTTGTGGGGCCTGAACTCTGGGCCTGG